ACCTCAATATAATAAAGGCCATTTATGACAAACCAACAGCCAGCATCATACTAAATGGCCAAAAATTGAAAGCCTTTACTTTAAAATCAGGCACAAGACAAGGATGTCCTTTATCACCACTCCTATTTAATATGGGACTGGAAGTACTAGCCAGTGGAATTAGGCAACAAAGAGAAATAAATCGGTAAAGATAGGAAAAGAAGAAGTTAAATTATCATTGTTTGCAGATGACATGATACTCTACATAGAAGACCCCCTAAACTCCAATGAAAGACTCTTAGATACAATAAATAAATTCAGTAATGTGGCTGAATACAAAATCAATACTCAGAAATCAATAGCATTCCTATACTCAAACAACAAAATCACAGAGAGGGAAATGAGAGAAACTGGACTATTCACATTAGCAAGCAAAAAAATGAAATATTTAGGAATTACTCTTCCGAAAGAAGTGAAAGACTTATACAGTGAAAACTATAATACACTGAAAAAGGAAATTGAAGATGATCTCAGAAAATGGAAAGACATCCCTTGCTCATGGATAGGAAGAACAAACATTTTGAAGATGGCCATTCTCCCAAAACTCTTATACAGATTCAGTGCAATCCCAATAGAAATACCATCAACATACCTTATAGATCTAGAGAAATCACTCCTAAATTTCATCTGGAACCAGAAGAGACCTAGAATTGCAAAGGCAATTCTAAGTAGCAAAGACAAAGCAGGAGGCATCACAATCCCTGACTTGAAATTATACTACAAAGCAACAGTAGTAAAATCAACATGGTGTTGGAATCAAAACAGAGCTGAAGATCAATGGAATAGATTAGAAAATACAACCACAACTACAAACACACTCAACCACCTTATCTTTGATAAAGGAGCCAAGCAGGTTCACTGGAAGAATGACAGTCTCTTTAATAAATGGTGCTGGAAAAACTGGCTCTCCATTTGCCGAAAACTGAAGCTAGACCCATGTCTATCACCATGTACTAAATTAAAATCTAAATGGGTCAAAGATCTGAATATTAAAACAGAAACACTAAATCTATTGGAAGACAAATTAGGTAGAAACCTTGGAGACATCGGAGTAGGTAGAGCTTTCATGAACAGGACTCAAACCGCACGGGAACTACTTCCCAGAATCAATAACTGGGACCACTTCTTATTAAAAAGTTTCTGCATGTCAAAAAAATCTCCAGCATTGTGAAAAGAAAACCCACAAACTGGGAAAAGATTTTAGTGAACTCTCTCTCAGACAAGGGACTCTTGTCTAAAACATATAAAGAATTAAAAAAAACTCAGACCTCCAAAATTCAAAGATCCAATCCAAAAATGGGCATCTGAGATGAATACGCAATTCTCAGATGAAGAAATGCAAATGGCTAATAAATACATGAAAAAATGCTCATCATCATTGGTCATTAGAGAAATGCAAATTAAAACCACACTGAGATACCATCTCACTCCTGAAAGAATGGCCAGGATCAAGAAAACCAACAACAACAAATGCTGGAGAAGCTGTGGGGAAAAAGGAACTCTCCTGCACTGTTGGTGGGAGTGTAGACTGGTATAGCCTTTGTGGAGGTCTGTCTGGAGGTTTCTCAAAAAGTTGGGATTGGAAATCCCATTTATTCCAGCTATTCCACTTCTAGGCATATTCCCAGAAGAACTGAAAGCATCATACCACAGTGATTTATGTGCACCTATGTTTATAGCAGCAAAATTTGTAATCGCCAGATCTTGGAAACAACCCAAGTGTCCATCAACTGAGGAATGGATAAAAAAGTTGTGGTATTTCTATACAATGGAGTATTATGCAGCTATAAAGAAGGATCACATTGAGATATTTATCAATAAATGGGCGCAGCTTGAGACCATACTCATAAGTGAAATAAATCAATCTCGCATTTATGAATACCGAATAGTATCCCTAATGTAAGTAAATGATTCAAATATATAAAAATATGTGGCAATCATGATTCCCCATTATGTGGCCTTGAAGCCTTATAAAATTTTCACTTATTAATTAGAATGGCTTTATTATGGGGTTCTTGATATGGAAATATTTGAAGCTATAGTATATGAAGTTTTATCCAAATATTTCAAGGAAAAAGACAGACACTATGGTAGCTACTAGTCTTTAAAAAATTATTTAGTTATTTCTTATGTTTATTTTAATTTAGGGAAAAATTAAAAAATTAGGATATATAATAGTAACTCTTGTCAATTTCTTATTAACTTGTTTTGAAGTCCTGTAATACTCCCACGATCTTGTTTTGACTGATTAGACTCTGTTCCATTCTGTGCGATAGTATCAAGTCTGAGGGTATAGGCAACTACTTTGAAGGCAATAAGATTCACAAAGATGCCCATTCTGGTTTGACTATTGTCTCCTTTGGAAGTCCCGTAATGTTTACAATGCCTAAGTTTTATAGGTCTTGTTCTCTACTGTTTTGTCCAACTTTATAATATCTAATGAGATAGACAATTCTTTTTAAGGAAACAAGAGACAACGTTGATAACCATTGTTAATAACCTTGTACTCTGTTCTACATCATGTGCTATGTCTATCCTTGGTTTTGACTGACAGTTTTGTTTTGCCATATTTGACTGTATTCTCTCCCCCCAAAAAAAGTAATAAGAACTAAGGAGTAATAAAATCCAAAATGTGTAAATTTTGTTGTAAAAAAGAGAGGGGAAAAAAAGAGCTCTATCGGATATAACAGCAAGTGTGTTTAGGGGTGTTAAATAGCTGACTATATCAATGTTTTTGGATCATTGAACACAGCTCTTTGCAGTCTCCCTGTTTGAATGTCCACTTTGTATTCTTTGATACTGTGATTTGAGCAACTATTTTCAAGATGATAATATGTAATCTATTAACAGGTGATTTCCTACTGTTATGTTTTTTTTGTAGTTCTGTATTACGTGTACCCTTACACCGCTTTATTTTGTTTTGTGTTTTTCTCTTTTTCCTCTTAAATAAAAATTTTTAAAAAATCTTAAATGTCTCACGTTTCTTTTACATAAGAAGCCAAATTATAAAGTATAACTGAAATAAAAGATAATAATACACAGATCATTTGCAAAAGGAGAGATGGAGGAAGGGAAGAGAATAAAGTGGGGAAAATGTGAAAGAGGATAAAGAGGGAATTTACATGCATTATGTACATGTGTCAATTCCCTGTGACCAATGTAGCCCTTATGCATTGTAATCAGGTACTAATACAAATAAATATTTAAAGAGGAGAATACTGCAGAGAAATAGGAAATCCAAGTAAATATACAAGCCTCTCTGCCAGTTTCTTATGTACTAGATCTCCTTATCTTTTGCTATTTCCATCCTGCAGGGATCATGAAAATCTAATAGCCTCTTCCATAACTTTAATTGTCCCTTTGGAGATATTTACAAGAAAATTGTAATTCTCTTTGTTAATGAGCAACAATGAAAAAAGTTCTGCTGATTTCCTTAGCTCCCCAAACTTCCATTGTCATATTCAATACAGATGAAATGATAATTACAGTTCACAGGGGAGAGATTACAGATACATAAAGCTTTATCTCAGGTCTAACTGCTTGTCTCACCTGCAGTGCTGGCTGTCATGAGCATCACAGTGAAATCGAGTTCTTGAAGAGTGATGTAGTCAGGTGAGAATTTTGTATTTCAGCCTCATTGGTATAGTCAGTAAATAAAGAAAGTGTATGTCCTTATGTCAGACTCAGATATTCTGTGATGGAAACAAGTTAAGAGCAAAGATAGACAAGGAGAGAAATAATTCTTTTATTTTATACTCAGCTAGAGATAAAAATGAGGATCTTAAACCCAAACAACTTCCTGGTGTCTTTAGTTTAATTGAAACTATACTGTGGATTAACATTTATGAATTATCAACATGAGAAGCAATAAGGTTTTATGTGCTTAACAATTGCTGTATTGAAACATAATGATTCTTCATATAATTTACAGCGAGTTAAAGAATAAATCCGTAGTCCTTTGTTTATTTCTTCCTTCCTTCCTTTTCCTTCTCTTTCCTTGTCTTTCTTTCTTTTCTTTTCTTCCTTCCTTTCTTTTTCTTTATTATTTTTGTCTTTATTTATTTCTTTGATTTTTATTTTTCTTTTCTGTATTATTTAAATATTTTGAGACAAAGTTTCACAATATATTTTAGGATGTCCTGGAATTCACTGTGTATCCCAGGCTGACCTCACAAACAAGTTCATGGTTTACGCACATCCTTACCAAATTTGTTATTTGCTGTTATTTTAATGTTGGAATTTGGAAAGACACGTAATGATACCATGTAGAGATCTCACTTGAGTTTTTCTGACTAAGGAGTACATAAAAACTTTGAAAATAACTTCCTTTTCTGAAATTTCACTTTAATTAACTTCCAATTTGTTATTGTATTATATAATCCATAAGAATTTTTCATGATGAATGTTGTGTTTCTATGTCTCTCTTTTTCCCTCTGTTGTATATCCCTGTACTTTAGTTTGTCATTTTCTATTGAACATAACTTTTTTTGTGTTTCAATGAAAATAGTTCCTAATGTTAACATACTCTAATTTGTCATTTCATCCAAATGCTTAATGGGTTTTTAAAGAAGTAATTTCATAACAAATCAAAAAATGTTTACTAATATGGTTTACATTAATCTTAAATATTGACACTAGAATACATTAAAATCAATGATAAATCAAAAAACATACATATATATGTGATTTTGATCATAGTTGATGATTTTTTTCTTCAGTAAAGTAAGTTATGTTTTAGGACTTATTGAAAATGTTTCAATTTCATTCTTTCCATGTTGTAATTTATACCCAGAGGTTAGCAGCAATTGCTGCTTAGTGATGGCTTAATCTATGAAATATGCAGAAAATTCCACAAGAGCACAGTGCTAATGTAACTTTTGGTGTCGATTGCTACAATGGGCCTGATTCAAAGAAATTATTGTCATCACATTTTAAAGGAAATTTTAGAAGGAAATGACAAAATGCCTTCCAAGGATTTGGCAATAGGAATAATGTTTTTGTTACAGACTGTGATTGGAATTCATGGAAATTTTTCTCTTCTTTATTATTATTTTTTCCTTCACCATATGGAAAGTAGAATGAAGCCCATAGATCTGATTCTCAAGCATCTTCTTATAGCTAATTCTTTAGTTATTCTTACAAATGGACTATCCAGGACAATGGTAGCCTTTGGGTTGAAATATTTATTCAATGAACTTATTTGCAAGCTTAACTGGTTTATGCTCAGAGTGGGCAGGGCTATGTCAATTTCTACCATGTGCTTCTTGAGTTTCTTCCAGAACATCACACTCAGCCCCATGAACTCCTGTTGGAATAATCTTAAAATCAAAGATTCCAAGTACATTGACTTCTCCATGTCTCTCTGCTGGCTGCTACACTTGGGGCTAAATTGCATTTTCCCTCTGTATGTGCTGCATGCATTGGGAAATTCAGAAAGCAAAAACATCACAAGGAAAAGACATCTGGGAATTTGTTCTGTCGTAGATTATGGAACAACCATGGGCTCAGTCTATATTGCATTAGTAGTATCTCCAGAGATTTCTTTTATTATGCTCACAGTATGGGCCAGTGGCTCAATGATTCTTGTCCTGTACAGACATAAAGCGCAGGTTAAGCACATTTATAGTAGTAAAGTTTCCTCCAGATCCCCTGAGTCAAGAGCCACCAAAAGCATCCTTCTGCTGGTGAGCACCTTTGTATCATTTTACACCATCTCCTCCATTTTTAACATTTATACTGCTCTTTTTTATAATCTCAGTTGGTGGTTGATGAGTATTTCTGACCTAACTTCTGTGTGTTTTCCAATGATCAGCCCATTTCTTATCATGAGTCAGAATTCCTCTATATCTGTGTTCCAGTTTGTCTGGATTAGAAATACAAAATCCTCTATTATCAAAAATATATAATTGTATATTTTATCTGTACTTTATACTGTCTGCTGCTAATTTAACTAGGAGAGACAATACCCAAATGCAAGAAGAGACCACATATCTTTCTTCAGAGAACTAATAGACATTTCAACTGGTCAAATATAGGACCTTCATTGGAATAATGGATGTAAATAAATCAGGTTGTCCCAATTCTGGTGCACACCATCCTGTTCACTCAGTATGAATAAAGTGTTTTTAAAGGCAAATTGAATGGATTTACTTCTTCTTCCTCCTTTTGCTCCCTCTCCTTTTTTCCTTTTCCTGTCTTTTACTTCTTTCTTATTTTGCTCCCTTCTTCTTGTCCTCCTCTTTTTTCATCTTTTAAATTTTTTGAGACTGTTAGACAATGCCCAGTTGTTGTGGATCCAGTGGAAGACAGAGATTGTACTTGGATATATTGGCATCTCTGTCTCCCAAAGCTAAAGGCATCAGGATCCCGAGTAAGCATTTATTTCTTACTGAAATTTGAGAAATGATCTCTGGACACTAATCACTGGAGATCATCAAGGAGACAATGTGGAATTTTAACTCCCATCCAAAGGAGAAGTCTCTACATCAGACCGATGTGAAGCATCAAACTCTGGGTGTTTTGTTGTGTTTGATTTCTGTGATAAAATGTATGATGCTGAGTAACTTGCAGAGGAATGTGTTTTTCTCATGCCACAGTGTTGATTGCTCAAGGGCATACAACACGATCAGCTCAATACTCGTAAGAGGCACCTGCTATACCACATGATCATGAATGGTTTTGTATAAGAGGAATGGATTACAACTAAAAAAGCACAGTGAGAGGATAAAGAGACCAGTCTTTCCATCTCCTAACAAGTCATTCATGAGAATTAATCAGTGCTCCATAAAAACTCTTTTTAAAATTTCCAATTACAGACTGCCCCCATGACCTAAGATCTCACAGATTTATAAGATCTCTCATAAACATTTTCTAATAAACACATTTCCAGCATGGTGGATTGACAGTTGGTGGTCAATTTAAAACCCAGTTGAACTGAATCAATGTGGAGCTGAGGGGGATAGCCCACTAAAGTTTGTTGCCGAAATAAATGTGGAAACTATAGAGGAAGAAGTGGGTTATTTGTTCTCCTGGGTGTTGTTGTTTCACCTGTTACCATGGGCTCTCCTGCTTGAACTTGTCAAACTTGTTTCCTGATATGAACTTGGATGTTTTCATCAGACCTTGTTGTTACTGAGAAGGGCTGTGGTTCACTTTGGGGATCTCTGCTCCTTACTTGGAGCACCATTTCCTAGCTACAGATGGGAAAATGTGGAGGAGCTTGTTTCACGGGCTTCCTGAAATGAGCTTAGCTGTTCTCTTTGTCAGAGGAGTTTGAGATCTCCTTGTCACTGAGGATTGCTGTGGTACTTTGTGGGGGAGACCTGGTCCTCACCTTAAGCGTAGCATCCTGGCTCCAAGGCAGCAACTACATCCTACTGGCACAGAGCCTTCATTCCTCTGGCACAGACTTCCTAGCTTCTATCTCTAAGCTTTGAGCCTTTCAAGAACAGATCGGTGAAAGAGACTTTCATGAGACACTGTCATGGTTTTCCATCTTCCATTTGCACTTATTGAGGACATCGCCATTGGCTCCAGGTCTTCAGCTCCACTCAGACAGGATATTGCCAATGGATCCAGGCCTTCAGAATGATTCTTTGGGTCTTAATGTATGTATAAATTTCCTGGAATCTTTCTTCATATTTGACTCTTTGGGTGACCACTAAAAATGATTGCTGTAAATAATGTGTCCTGTATTGTCTTGTTTTCTTCACAAACACCTGACTACAACAGGAGGATAAATCTCATCTAAGCCTGAACGTCCTGGGAGCATGAAAATCTACATCTTTTACAAGGAGGATAAGCCCTAAAGTTATATTTCCAATCACTGGATAAGTATCTGACAAAGGGATATGGAAGCACTAAGTTAGTCAAGCTTACTTTGACTCCTGGTGTCTGAAATTTTACATCATGATCAGTTTGCTCCAACACAGAAGCATCATGGTGAAAAGTATTTGCCAAAAGACATTACAGAAGGGTGGGCAGGAATAATAGCATTCACCTCATTACATCCAGGAAACAGAGGTTGAGAAAGCCATTGGGGAAGGAACCAGAAAGTAGGTCTTCCTTTCAAAGTCATGCCATCCAGTGATCTACTTCCACCAACTGAGCTATGCTCCTAAATCTCATCCTGCTATGAATTCTTCAGCATGTTGTCATTGTAGCACAATAGATGGATATGCAGATGTCCTTAGATTATGCTGACTTTAATTGCTTTGTGTTTACTAGGAAATTCTCTAGATCAATAAAATACTAGGTCTATTTTTGAGGAAACTCAATATCACCTTCCACAGTGGATGCAATGATATACCACTATGGAACTATAGAAATATCATTTTCCTTGTATCCTCATAAGCTGTGTGGGGTAATTGTGGTTTCACCTTCAATAAAAAATGCCCATTGTTTTAGTATAGCACTGTTCTGAGTAAGACTGAATGATAAACTTACTGAAGAGTGAAGACACACTCTGGATGTGGATAGCACCAACAAACAGGCCTGAATGAAACAGAAAGAGAAAGAAGGAAGTCTGGTTTTTGCTCCACTAGAAGGGCCCCAGAATGTGAGTGGCTCCAGAATCTTCTAATAATAGAATGATACAATTTGCACATAAGGATTATTTGCATTCTTATTTTTATTTAATTTCTTTTATGTTTTTCTCCTACCAAATTTCTCTAGCTAAAATTTCAAGAACTTCACTGAATAGCAGTGGCGAGAGTGAACATTACTCCCTTGTTACTTGTTTTTTCCATTCAGCATGATGATGGTTCTGGATTGGCTAATACATCCTATTTGGAGGAATTATATCCAGAATCCTAGTTTCATAAGGACTTTTTCTGTATTATACAGGGATATTTACTTTTGTAGAAGGCATTCACTACATAAATATAATCATGTGATTTTTATCCTTGGTTTTACTTACGTGCTGTAATAACTCGGATCCCAGTATAAATCCAAGGAAGCAAGAGACTGAAATTTGGGGAGAAAAGGCTTTATTTAGACCAGGCCTGGTGATGAGTCTCTGGGAGCCAATTTGGAGACTGTGCACTAGAGACTGAAGGGAGGGCTCTGAAAAGAGGCTGGAGGAAAAGGGCCAGGGGGAGAAACAAAGAAACCCACAGAGCCATCAAACTTGTTGATCCGAATCTGGAAACTGTATAGCTGTCCACTTAGTTCTGACAACCTCGGGAGCTTTTGGCACCTCTCAAGTTACTCCCATCCTGCAGATAAACATTGTCTTAGAGTAGCACATCTGCAATAACATTTGGAGAAAGTTAATTATCTCAGGACAGCTCATTAACACTAACAGGTGGGAAGAGGTCAAATGTTACAAGAAGCTGAAACTTAAGTTTTCACAAGGATTTGGAACTTAACCCTTTTAGTACATTAGGGTTAAGCCACAATATTTTCCTGTAATTTCTTTGAAGCTAAGGCACATTTTATGACAGATCATACCGGGTTAGGAAGAGGTCACCAGAAACCCAAAATCTTTATGGCCTAGCCTAGATAGATAGGTAGGGGAAAGGGGAGGCAGTATGGCACTTTACAGAACAGAAAATGGTGGTTATGTTTTTCTTTCTTTCTGGGGAGGGGGATCAAGGTCAGGTAAAGAGTTTTGCTAATAACCAAATCTCCCTGCACACAAGCAAGTTACTTCAAACAAGTGTAAATTAGAGGGCCATCCTAGTTTTCTTTAGCTCTTTAGTGGAGAATAGAGGCACCTAACAGTGATTAACAACCCTTGTTAGCTTGTTTTAGCACCACTTCTGTTGTTTGTAGGGGGCAACAATGGTTAACGTATCAGTTAGGTGAGATTTTACAATTCTTTACAGAAGAGAGCATTGCTTAACATATCAATTAGGTCACTCGGAGGGAGGGAAAAAGGAAAACAGACACATTCAGTAATCCACGTTACAGGTTTTGTTATAATACACATATAACAAAGCTATTTTCTAAGAGTACAACACATGCTATACTATGTTTATGGATTTTCTCATTTGAACTGTGCTTCCCACTTCTAGAATGAAGCCAATTTGATCACTCTGTATGATTTTTTAAATGTGAAGCTTAGTTAAGTTTTCATTAAGGATTTTTGAATCTATACTCTTCAAAAATATTTGTCTAAAGTCTTCTTTTTCTTGTTTCTCTGTTCTTTTTTGGTTCAAACTCTAGCTTTCCTTACACACAAATCACCATTTTTTGTTGGCTGTCTTTTCACCTCTCCCAATATTCTTTTTTTTCTTTTTTTATGGGTACTGGGGATCAAAGTCACAACCATATACTTGCAAGGCAGGCGCTTATGCCGCTGAGCTAAATCCCCATCCCCTCCAGTATTGTCATGGCCTACAGCCATATGATTTTCTATAAACAATGCACACAAAATAGGCATACAACCTCATTTACAAATTTGCACACACAAAGCTTTCAACAAAATTGAACACACATTCATGATAAAAACCTACAGAAATCAGAATAGATGGTCCTACATTAATCTGATGAAAGACATCTAAATAAACCAACAGCCAGCATCTTACTAAAAGGACAAAAACTGAACTTTCAATCTAAAATCAGGAATGAGACAAACATGGCCACTACCACCTCTCCTATTCAATATAGTTCTGTAAATACTAGCCAGTGCAATTACACATGAAAGAGAAATAAAAGGAATAAGAATAGGAAAAAAAAAAAAAAGAAATGAAATTGTCATTATTTGCAGATAGTGTGATATTCTACACAGAAGACCCCCAAAATGTTATTGAAAGTCTCCTAGATATAATAACCTAATTGAGCAATGTAGCTGGATACAAAATCAACACACAAAAGTCAATAGCTTTCCTGTAAATGAACAACAATCTCAGAGAGAGGAATAAGGTAAACCACACCCTTCCCTAAAGCATCTAAAAAATGAAAT